TTAGGGTCCCAACCCCTCTTAACATCTGTGCAGGACATCCACACAAGGGGATTGTGCTGGTACCAATTAGAGAGATGCAGTTACCACAAAATAAGTTTTTTTGCAGACAAGTCCATACTCCCCTGAATGCTTTTTCTGTCATTTAACAATTACCTCCATTTTATTGCTATCAGTTATAACAATTAGCATTTCAACTTATTTGAACCTTATTTGGTGCTTAACCTCCAGCCCATGGACCAGTTCCGACCTTCAAGGTCATGTCATCTGGCCCACGGACCTCCCCTCAGGTCTGGAAATTTGGTGGTGGGAGAGCAGTAGCAGCATGAATTGCTGCTCCCCTTCTGACAACTTTTTGGACCCTTTGGCTAGGGACAGAAGATGCACATACACCAATTAAAGTGATCAGAAACTGGTTTAAACCTGTAACAGAACAGAAGTTCAGTGCACATAAAATAATTTCAAAATAGCTGAAAATGGTTTAAGATAAACCTGGCTGAATGTAATATCAGACTTGGGTCAAACTGGTTTATGAAACTTCTTTCCCAGACCCCTTCCTGGTTCAAGTTAAATCACAGTCCCCCAGCAGCCCAGATGCTTTGCAGTCCTGGGCTGAGCTGGGCTGTACTGTTTGCTCCAGCAGAGAAAGGTTGGGGTGAGTCTCTGCTGCCCAGGCAAACCCCAGGCGGGGTCTTGGGCCAGGGAGGGGAGTTAAACTTTCCTTCCCCCAGTACAGAGCTGACCTGCCCTGCTAAAAACTTACTGCTGGATGCAACTGTGGACTACAAATCCCAGAGACACCTGGAAACAGGAAGAAGTGATGATCAACCCTGCAGAGCCCTGCCGTTGTGATTTTGGACTGCAAACCTCAGAGACCTCTGGGGTAGCAGGAAGAGGAAACGAACACACAGCCCATGCTGGCTACATGCCAGAGAGTCATGCTCTAGCGCCCCCTGGACTCTCGCCTAAGCCACTGCAGGTATGTGGATGCATTTCCTGAATTAAAAATGAATGTCTGTCCAGTTGTTTCTCAGTCTAAGCTGCAGAGATTAAACTAACTTGCAGAGACTGAATTGATTCAGCCTCATGGTTTTTAATTGTCTGTACTTAGCTTAGATGATGTGGCCCCGAGTACTAGATTGCATTGATACCCAAGGTCACTGCACAGCTGGAACTGGTGTGCTGGGTCAGGTGGGTGCACTGACCCCATGCTGGATCCAGTGTATGGACTGAGCTTGTGCCACTCAACCTTCTAGCCCCATGGTCTGGATAAGTGACACCGATTTAAACAACTGTCTGGAAGATGATAACAGCAGAACTTGCAGGAGCTCTGTGGTCCATGTGGGTTGTACAGCAACTGTGAATACTTTGCAACTTGCTGGGAACCTTCTTTGCTTTTTGAGAGCTATTTCCATTGTGACTAAACCCAAATGCCAACTGGGCCCTTATTGATGAGGTCAGGGAAAACACTAAGCATGCACAGTGCCTTCATGATTTTCTAGTATGGGGCAGATTCCTCCCCTGCTGAGGGTGAAGCTGAGACAGCATGACACAAGGAACCCAGTAGGTTCAGGGTGCCCACATGGCAGTTTGTGGGAAGGCATGAGGAGGAGACAGTCCATTAACCAAGTCACCCAGTCTAGTGTTGCTAACTCCTGGAGTGTTGTTGAGTCTTGGGAGATGTGATAGCTGGGGTTTTTAGGAAACTACCAGATTTATGTGATTATTTGAAAGGTTGAGATTTCATTTTAAAAAATAAGTTTCTAGCCCTTATAGTTGCAAAGAAAATGTGAAAACATAATCCAAGGGAACTCTAAAGACTCCAAAATAAAAAAGTCAATGAAGAATCCCCATCATTATGTTATTTCTTAAAATAACTCATAAATTCCAAGTCCATCTCAACATGACTTTCTCCTGATGTCTGAACAGCTGTATTTGGCACTAAGGGAATTATACTATCAGGATGGAGTTTGTATGATGAAAAGTGAGACATGGTTTTATTACTTTGTCTCTGTCTTCACTGCTGTATTTGCTCCAGCCCTAAAAGTAGTCATTATCAATAATGCAGTAGGAGGGCGGGGATGTTCATATGTGGTTTCTGTCCCTAAGCACCAGTAAAGCTCACCCCTGGGCCTGGTTTCTCTTTCTCTCCCACTTACACTCCAGGCCATCATCTCCCAGGACAGAGATCAGGACAGATCCCAAGGAACTTTATCAAGGTTCAGAGTGATTTATACACTATAGCCTTATGGCCTGTTTTTAGCAGGGATAGTATACAGCTGCTGTAACCCCTCCAGGAGCAGAATAATGGGACATAACTCAGTCACAATTACTCCTACCACCTCCCTTGCTCTGGAAGAGAGGCAGGCATGTGTGGATACACCTGCACAGCTATTCCATTTTGACTTTTGAGAGAATGTGGGGAAGGGGAGAAACCAGGGTTTCTCCATTATCCATTTGCTCACAGCAGAAAATATGGGACACTGCTCCACACACACGCACACTCCAATGTGGCGAGGTCAAAATCTGAGCTAGGTATAAAGGGTAAGCATTAGCTTTTATTCCTCTGTGTAGGTGACTGATGGGTCTAATTACCTACTCCAGGGGTGCTCAGCCCCTGGTGTATCCGGCCTGCAGGGCTTCTCGTGAGTACATAGGGAGCTCTACAGGCTGTTGCTGTGCATGCTAGAACAGGCACGTGGGGCAGCATGGGCTCCACTGGGCTTAGTGGAGGCAGTATGGGGTCCTGGAGCCTCAATCCTGGCACTAGGATAAGGCAGAGGTGGTGTGGGGCCCCAATCTGGGTGTATGGGGCTGGGCAGAGGAGGCATGGGGCCCCAGAGCCCTGATCCTGGTATGTGGCGGTGGTGGAGGGCCCCATAGCCCTGATCACAGCACATGTGGCTAGATGGGAGTGGTGCAGGGCTTTTATCCTGATGCATGGGGCCAAAAAAGGGCAGTACAGGGTCCTGGGGCCCAGTCCAGATGCAAGGGTGGTGCAGGGCCCAGTCCCAGTGCACAGGGTCTACTCCAACCTGCAGACGAGCCCTGTACCATTCTTCTGGCCCGCAGGGCCAAAATGTTGAGAACTACTGATGTAGTCCAACAGAAGAAGTTTAATAAGGTCTATAGCAGTCACTTCACTACCACTAAAATGATTGTGAGGCAGACACAGAAGCAGTTGAACAGAACATAGCAACACTGCACAAGAGTTGAGAGCAGGACATGAATAAGAACAGTATCAGGAGTTTAAGTAAAATATAATTACTCAGGCTGGAGTCTGGCCGAGGTACAAGTCGAATGGCCTAGCTCTTGCACAAATAATGTTAATGCTTTTTAATGCCACAGGGCCCTTAATAATTACAGGTGGTAAGGACCCAACTTTTACATCTTGCCCAAAAGAGAGATAAGTTGCAAATTTATTTTCATTTGGCCTTCATACTTGAGGCTTCATCCAAACATACTTTTCAAGTGAATTAAGAATTTGAGGAATTTTGAACTCCATAATAAAAATAGGTAGTGAATCAAGCCATTAAATTAAATAGCCCCAGAATGAAGATGGTTAATTGAATGGGACACTGTACAAATTATATTTAAAAAGACCAGTCCTGAAGACATATCATGAACAGTCTCTTTATTTTATTTGACTAAAGCTTATAGGATTGGTGCTAAGGATACTGTAGGATTCTGTACTGATATAAGTATGTAAATCTCATTAGTATCCGTTTGGATTACATACACTTATCGAAAGAAACAAATGACTGTCTATCATTTAGCTGCTTTAATATTCAATACACACTGCTCAAGTTGCTAAAATGAGTTGAGATAAATGAATCGAAAATTCATATAACAATAATCGACTACTGGAAAAGTAGTAAAGATATTCTTAAACTTTAGCACTACCACAGGACTTGTGTGCAGCACGCTGATGGGTCAAGGAAAACACTGCAACTAGCTGAGGTTCAGACTGGCTTGATTTCACTGATAGTTCATAATTCACCAGGAGTTGTTAACCCAATACTAATTTAACTTCTAGCTGTGGTGTTAATAATTTTGTAAAATGTGTGTGTGGGGGGAATCCTGGTAAAGTGAATGATCTCCTTTCATGCCTAGCAGCGTTATGCATAAAAAAGGGTGGAAAGGACTGTGGACTTTTGGTGTATGGAGCAGGTTCACTTTCTAAATCTGTGAGGCATGCTGTTTCCTCTCCTAACTGCAACGGTACAATGCAAGAACTCTGGAAACAAGTACAAGCTAGCCCGCATTGCGAGAAATAATCTCCACCACAAAACAGAATGGGGTTTCAATACAGCCAGGATATCAGGACTGAAAACATTCAAGTTGCTCTGCTGGGTTCATACAGCACTGTCTCAGGAGGTGGAAGACATCTCTAGCACATTAGGGTCATGTGCTGAGTTTCATAGCAGTTAACCCCGCGAGCATTACACTTCTGAAACTGGACTGGCAAGAGAGAGGCGACTTGGAAAGTCAGGCTTGGTACCAAAAGGTGCTCCTGAAGTAGTGTGGCTGACAAGGCTGGGCGTCCCGGCTCACCACTTTGGGTCTTTGCTAGTATTGCAACCTTTCTTTAAGGAGCGGAGCAGGCTCGGGCTCCCCGCCAGCTCGCCCGCTGATCCGCGCCGCCCTCGGGACACGTCGCGTACCCCGATGTCGGGACTCAGGGGCACGACGGGCCCAGGGAATCTCAACCGGGGCCTGCGGCCGTCGGAGAGGGCAGTGCGGCTGTCCTCTATGGATACGAAACCAGAACAAATGTTCTTGAGAAAAACAGGGGACATCGGCTCTCCTATCCAGAGTGGACAGAGGAGCACAAGACCGGACTGTCTTCTGTGAGGGGCACCCGGCGCTCCTCTCGCCACGCGCCTGAGCATCCTCAGGGCCACGCGTGGCGGGAGGACACGCGGGTGGAGCGGGACGTGGGAGCTGCACCTGCACACGTGTGCCCTGCCCTGCCCTGCCCTGCCCGCCCGCTTTGGTCCTACCTATGATGATGGCACAGGCGCTGACCAGCCCGATCTCCTTCTTCAGCGCGACCCGGTCGGCGCCGGCATCCGGCGGCGGCGTGGGGGCGGAGATGCTTTTGCCGAGGGGCTGCGGCTGCGGCTGCGGCTGGTCCTCCCCCGCCATCTCTCCCCGGCGCGCCGCAGCTCTCGGTCCTGCCGCCCGGCCCGCGAGCAGCTGCAGGAGCTCAATGGCAGGCGCATGCGCTGCACGGCCCGGCCCGGCCCGGCGCGCCGAGGGGGGCGGCCACTGGGCTGGGGCTGGGGCTGAGGAGCGGGGGGCACGGCGGTGGGCTCGGGCTGCCTGGGCTTCAGGCCCCGGGGCATGGGGGAGGGAGGATCCCTGGGCTTCACGTCCCCAAGTTCAGGTCCTGGGGGCTGGTCACAGCGATGGTCACCCCAAAGGTGCCCCCAAAAAAGGCAGCCGAGCCGTGTGCCGCAGCAGGACGGCTCCCTTATCTTTCCAGTGTCAAAGTCAGGAGTGACAAGAAAGAGGTGGTGTTCCCTGTGGGGGTCTGGGTCTAAGAAAGGGCTGAGAACCGCTCATGGGCAGAGTGGGTGCGGGTGTGAGGGGTAGGGGCCCCTGTGGGGCAGCGCCCGTGTTTCTCTGTTGTTCCAGCAAAACGAGGCTTTTGTCACAGGCCAGGGCCCAGGGAGGGATGATTCAGGTGAAGACAGGCAGAAACAAACAGCACTTCATTGGAAGGCATTACAGAGTCCCCAGGGCTGGGAAGTAGCCGGGAGCAGGGAACAGACGGCAGGGTGGTAGACACAGGCTGGCTCCACTGATGGAGCATCACCATCATTAAAAAGGAGAGAGGGTTGTTAACACCTCTCAGAGGAAGAGTATGGAGGGGATCAGGTGGATGACACTGAGCCATGAAATCAATGGACCCCCTCAGCACTGCCCAAAATGCTGCTGCCATGGCCAGGCTGTTAGTTTTAAACCTTGGGTGGAGCAGGAATCAAACGGGGGCAGGGGGTGCAAGTGCCCCAGTGCACCCCCTGGAGCCGCCCCTGGAACTACTGGTCTACAGTGGCTTATGGTGTTGAAACGACACTAAGCTGTCCCTGTGCGCTTGGAGAGCTGTCCCATCCCTGAGGTTAGCCAGGTGGATGTGGCAGTGCTGCAGTTCCCAAACACAGGGTAAGGCAGGGTTTCCTTCCAAGGACCTCTGCATGCTGCACCAGGTAAGCACCATGTCACAGCACATGACGCACACTAAGTCTCACCTTGGGGGTGCCTTTAAATCAGGCTTTGATTACGATTTCCTTCTCTAAATATTTCATGTTGTATTTCTTGGGTGGCTATTTCAAGCTTCATGTTGCTGTCTCTCCAATAATGCTTACTATTGGGAAAGAAAAGAAAAACCAAACCCTTTTTGTTGTTTGCATAGAAGCACTCTGCCAAAAGCTTCAAAGGATCAATAGATGTAGTTTATTCTGGTAATGTGGAATATCGTAACAGGTTTTTAGGTTTGTTTTGTGTAACGGACTCCTACAGCCTTTTCTTATTGAATGATGTTAGCAGAAACAAATAGTTTGGCCATGGAGGAGCAGGCTTCCATCATCATTCTCTGGGCCTGACTTGAAAAGGAGGTTTGAAAAAAAAAATGGTGCATTTCTCTTAATCTTGGCTATTTGTGTGATGTGACAAATTAGGGTTAGATGGCTGATGGTGTCAGGTCCCAGAAGAGTTCTGGTAATGCAATGGTGAGGGTCTTTCATTACAGTCCATTATGAAGGTTATACATTATTGGGACCAATGCGATGTTCTAGCCAGAAGCCTGACTCAGAGGGGTCTGGTAGATTAGCTGGGGATAGCTGATGGTTGTATCTGTGTGTTTTGATGATCTTGTTCAAGAATGGGAAATTAGTTGGCAAGATCATAGAGCTCAAGGTGTCTCCTTTGGTGTTGGCTGGAAGATTGTGAGCTTTAATGTGTTTGGTAGATAACCTTCTTCAAATGTGGTATTGACAATGTCAGTCAGTAAAAGCCCAAATTAATTCACGGTGTCTTTTACTAACAAGGAAGGGAACGGGGCTGAAGATAAGTTCACCTGCATGCTCTGCTACGTAGCTTGCAAGCGCAAGTCAGGCAAGCTGTCTTTCTCTCATTCACACTGTTTTGTGCCCAGTCCATACCATGTATGCTCCACTGGGTTTCCTAGTGCTGCATGTAGTAGAGCCCTTCTAGGAATGTTATTGTGGGACAGTTTGTGTTTCCATAATGGTGCTAAGGGCAGGAGTTATTTTAGTTTGCCAGCACATAAAGCTTTGTTAGCCTAGCACACTACTCAGCTCTGTGTGTGTAGCAGTGTTTAGAGCCATGGATCTCTCCTGGTTCTTGCCCAGCTGTGTGAGGTGGCGTTCAGGGAGATGCTAGGGTCTTCCAGGCTGGATGCAGAGGACATAAAGGAAGCATAAAAGAGAGGTGATGGTTGTTGCATTATCCCCATCTGCATGCTGGCATTTCTGAGGCAGAGGAAGTAACCAGGTGTGGCGTGATCATGCTAACTGCATAAACATAGAATAGAGGCTCCAGGATGTCCATGTGAGGAAGCAAGGCATTCTTTGGTCTGGGTGTAAAACTTGACCTAACCTTCAGGTGCCACAGTATATTGCTGAAGGAGACCACCCTGCTGCAGAGATGGATTGTTATCTCTGCCTGAAAAATGAATACCTAGGGCTACTAAAGGTCTCTGGCTAACCAATTTGGTGTTGACAAATCACCTGTCAGCCTGGTGAGGGGGCTGAAAGTTTGCAATGCTAGCCTGAAAGTTCCCGGCAGGTTTTGAGTATGCCCAAAATAATGTCTGGATGACAGAGGATGGGATTCTCAAGCTGTGCTAGGACTATTTGTTACCTCCCTGAAAGAGCCAGTGAATAAGTTAATAGAAGCAAGAGCTTCACTGGTTTTCAGGGCTTTGTGGACCATAGAGGCAGTCCACATATACCAGAAGCAGTACAGCAGGGATCTCAGTAGATAGCATTAACATGCTTGAACAGCCTGGGGCTCCGAGTTACTTCTTTCAAGGTGCTCGCTCTTTTGGAAGACCCCAGCTGTCCTCTCCTGCCATGTCTTACAAGACAGTGTGTAGACGCTGTGCTGCTGCACAGAAAATGCAGTTACAGTCTTATCTGCAGCATGGTGCTACAGTGCGTATTTGAAAGGTCAAAGGAAGGCAAGCCAGCCCCTACAAACTCATTTGGATGGCATACATACGATCCGATGCATACATCCATACATACGATATTGTGCTTTGTTGTGTCCTGCACAGCACCTCTGAAGTTTGAAGGCAAATATTTTCACACAGAGTGGATCCTAAACTCTTAGGAGCTCCTTAGTGGATATGCGCTACCAGAAAGCAGTAGGGTTCCTGGGTCATGGGGGCCATTAGGGGTGCCATTGTTCATTTACCTCCATGCCACAGTGAGTAACGTGTTGCTAACGCACGTGCTGTTTTGTGTATAGTGGGGCCTGTTGTACTAATATGTTACAGGATATTAAAGTGCCTGTTGTGCTTTTTTTTTTTTTTTTAGTTCCTGGTGTAAGGCACTACTGATGTGTGTGGGGTACATTGTGCCTGATTTAATTCCACAAATTGCATTTGGTACAAGTTGATTTTGCTGAATAAAATATTAATTTAAATGTAACTCTCTGTGCTTGCTAGTTTGGGGTCATGGAGGGTCATTTAATTTGGTTTTGCAGGTTGCTTGCTGGTTTTGCAAACTTTAATAAAAACTTTTGGCAGAGCCACAGCTTCCCATTTCCTTACAATTAGGTGGACAGCGACAAATGCTTAACACAAACACAGAAATATATTAAACTTACAGATATATGAAGGGAAACCTGAAGAGCAGCGCAGTCAGGGCTGCCAACTGTGTAATGAAAGTAAATGTACTTTTGTAATTATCAAAGGACAAATTGGAAACCAGAGTGCAAAGAGGAAAATGAAAGAACAAACTACAAAGCAGGGGAAAAAATTTACTGGCAGCAGTGCCCTACCTGTTCTCCTCCCCATAGTATTTATGGCACAGCCTGGTAGAGGGACAAATTGACCGTGGATTATTTGCCCCTGTAGTTGCTTGAGGTATCCAGGTTGTAGGGACTCGCAGGGAATTTCACATCTTAAGAGGCCGGCAGGTTACAGCGGTGCATTAGAGAGGGGCAGAAGCAAGAGCTTGTAGACTTCTTTGTGCCTGATCAATCTTTCACAAGGACGTAATGCAGCAAGAGACTTGTGCCTGGGTTGGGAATGGCACAGGTGCCTGGCATTGCAAAGGCTGAGACCTGTTGAAAATCATTTCAAATAGGCACTTCATGAGTTCTTGGTCCCACTGCCTTTCCACAGTCTCGATTCCAGAAATCTGTCCGAGTTCTTCTGTTCCAGGTCCTCCCATGCCTCCAGAAGCAGTGATGTTATCCGCAGCATGTTTCCTTTTTCCCCTCTGCAGAGGAAGGCCAAGTGCTCGTGCTCTTGTGTAGGATGGTTGGCCTTTCAGATTTCAAAGTACCACCAAAGAAAGAGGGAGAGAGTTGACAACCAGTTCTTTTCCTTAAAAAGCTCATGACAAAAATGAATCCCCCCACATTACCATGTTGTTAGTATCCATGATTTGTGACTTCGGTCGTGTTAATGTGTGCTGCCTTTTTCACTGATGCGCTTTGCTGTCTATAAGTCACAAGTGACAAATCTGCAAGATGACAACTTGTTCCTTGGTGCTTCTTTTCCTCTTTTTTAAAAGTATGTAGTTGCTTAAAGTGGACATCAAGTTGCCTGACCAGGGCACCATGTTGGATGAGGGCATGATTCCTAACATAGCTTCTTCTGCCAGCCTGGGTTTCCTCATTTACTTCAGCATCCTATTGAGGACATAAACATTGCGGAGACCCCTGGAAGGAAGACAGAGGTGCCATTCCAGGCCTGCAGAGGAGTTCCCTCAATCTCAGTGGTTTTTATGAGATGTATATAACTTGGTTTGTGCCATCACAATTCTTTATCCTGTCATAGGGTCTTCTGTCCTTTACTGAAGCAGGTCATACCCTAGAGAACCCTAAGCCCTTCCTAGCTGTGAATTCACTAGCCATCTCCTGGACAATCCCTGCCCTTTAGCATCAAAACTTCTCTCAGAACAATAACCAGAGCAGGCCAAACTTTCCAGCTTCATGATCCAATTA